GTTGAGTGACATACACTTCCTCTTCCAAATCACCGTTGAGGAAGGCCGACTTCACATCCATATGATAAACCTCCCATCCTTCATGTGTTGCAATAGAAAGCAACAAACGTAATGCTCATGTGTCGTAATAGAGAGTAGCAAACGTACTGTCTCTAGCCGAGCAAAAGGGGCAAAAATTTCATCAAAGTCCATGCCTTGTCGTTGAACGTACCCCTTTGCCACTAATCTCGCCTTGTGCTTCACAATTCTGCCTTGAGTTTCCTTCTTTAGCTTAAATGGGACGAGCTTCCAAGTTTCATTCCTTTGAATGGAAGACATTTCCTCCTCCATTGCTTTTCTCCACATCGGGTCTGCCTTAGCTTCTTTGAGAGTTGATGGCTCCTCTTCTCCTAGCAAACAGAATCCCAAATACTCTAGTTTTATTGGGAAGGTTTCATCGTAAAGGTTTTCGATGTCACGCTTACCCCGTGGTCCTTATAATGAACTCTCATCAAATGTTGTTTGCTGCATTCCTTCTGTCGTGGCCGAACCATCAAGAGCATCAAAAGTTTTATCTGGAGCTGTCAATGAATCAAGATCTGAAACAGATGTTCTGAATCTGATGTTCATCACAGGTGAAGCATGCTGGAATTGGTTATCAGTTTGTTCTCGTGTCGGCTGTGGAAAATCTATACCAGAATTTCTGATATCAATACCAGAACCGTTGAACGTCTCTTTATCTTCCTGATTTATCGTATCAGATGCATCTGTTATGGTAAAATAATATGCTGTAAGAGTTTTCCCTGCTGATCCTGTACCTGCTACTAGAAATTTACTCCACTTCCACTTCTTCTTCTCCTCGAACACTGCATCTCGTGTCACCACAACTCGTCTTGTTGCTGGATCAAACATTTGATAGCCTTTTGTGTTCATATCATAACTGATGAATACCATTTGCTTGCTACGATCAGCCAACTTTGGAAGATGCGGTGTAACTACTTTTACATGTGCAAGACATCCAAAAATACGAAAATGATCGACACTTGGCTTGCGGTCATAATATGCTTCATAGGGTGTTTTGCCGACGACGTTCTTTGTTGGTGCTCTATTTAAGATATATACGGCAGTTGATACCGCTTCTCCCCAAAATTTGATCGGGGCTTCCATACTTTTCAACAAGCTCCTTGCCATGCCGACAATCGTCTGATTTTGTCGTTCAACAGCTCCGTTCTGCTGAGGAGAATAAGGCGCCGTGTGATAACGCTTAACTCTCCTCGAACACTGCATCTCGTGTCACCACAACTTATCTTGTTGTTGGATCAAACATTCGATAGCCTTTTGTGCTCATATCATAACCAATGAATACCATTTGCTTGCTACGGTCAGCCAACTTTGGAAGATGTGGTAGCCAACTTCAGCAGATGC